GTCCTAATCTGATTTGTGTTTGTTTTAGAAATTTAAATCTTGCTATATTTCAGAGCCATTTCACACATGAGATGGTAACAAACCCAAATTTGCCACCAAAGATGGAACTACATATTGCCTGTTTCATGTTACTTTATTCATGGACCATTCCTTTTAATATAGTGAGGTCACTGAACTGTCAATTTAAAACTGAAATCCAATGCTAGGGAATAGCGTAATGCTGTCTCTTCATGCTGCAGAAAATTTTCCCTCAAGGTGTTTTTTTCCTTCCACTAGGGAAAAAGATACACATGTCCTCTGAAAATTTAAAAGGCACATGTGAAACACAGAGATTCAAATAAAAACAAAATTGTACACTGCAAGATTGACATTAGCTCACACTAGAGTTCCAGCAATATGCCAACACATTTCAAGGAGACTGCTTATGTTCAAGTGGGGACAGAGAGAGAGAAAGAGAGAGAGAGATCTTTGGATACAGATAATGACATAGTTTTTCAGATTTGCAGATAGTAGTTTGAGACAATTTTAAAACAAAGTTGCTCAATATATACATTTCTTCCATGCCCTTGTTTCTTTTGTGAAATGAGTTTGTTTTTATTGAAATATCTGTTATGGAGACAAAGAATATCCATTTGGAGTATAGAACAACAATAACCCATCACTGTCATCCAAACACTTAATTCTTGACCAAAATCTCTATTCTCCCAAGATCTTCGGCCTGAACATGTCCTTCATACTTCCAGCTGAACAGCCTGGTATGTTCTGTCCATTGAAGTCCCATTGGAACTCCAAATTAGGTTGCAAGTTCACTATGCTTTTGGCTCATCTTCTTGAATGTGGGGATTTATTGCCATCTGTTGGCAAATTCCTTTAACAACAGCTCTGTTTCCCAACTCAGTGCAAGAACTGTGGGAATACATAGTTTGTTTCTTTTTCTAGTTTTTGCAACCTTTCAAGTGAGGTGGAATATTTCATCACCCCAAAAGGAAAGACTGCTCACTCTTCATCAAGAGATGGTGTTTGTTTATACACACAGTCATTATAGTTATACCTTCAGACAGACTATGACTGTCCTAAACATAAACTAGGTAGTCTCCTGATCTATCACTTACCAATGTACTGACCATAAGGCTGCAGGTCAGAAAATTAGATGCATCATACTTTTTCACTTCAACTTGTTTATCAGAAGATTGTACAAGACCCACTGAAGTGTGTCCTCTTAGATAAGATTTTCAAGGTAGGCAAGAATGACTTTGTTAGTCTCCTGCAGTAAAATTGGCAGAGATTCTGTTGTCGCTCCTTCAAAGGACTATCATGGGCACCCTTCTGGAAGTGGTTACAGTGGAAGGTGACCAATCTAGCCATATGGAGTAGAAATCCATCCATAGCATGCAACTGATGGAAGAGAGGGTCCATGAAACAAACTTGCTTGTCTTATTTATGCCAGAATAAACATGTTTGCCTTGAAGGAGTCGCATGACTCTTGTCTTAGAGGGGATTGCCACCAATAGGCCCGGAGGGTGATCCTATTATTTTATGGCCATTATGCTATACACAAGGACTATAGAACTTGTGGCCCTTTGGTTCACATCTCTCATGGCCCTAGCCAGCACAACACATAGTGAGGATTGATGGGAGTTGTAATCAAAACACCTGGAAAGCCAAAGTTGCCCATTCCTGCTATACACAGTTATGTGAAAGCAAGACCCACTGAACTCAGTGGGACTTGTGAGCAGAACTGCATAAGATGAAGCTGATTGAGTAACTGTCATGGAAAACCTAAAATTATACTCACAGCCAGCAATATTTTAGATCATGAAGTTTTTGAGATCCCCAGATTTCATCTGGCAAGATGGAGGGGGGAGGAACTGAGGAAGGGGTACAGGAGGAAAAAGCCTGACTTTCCTGAAGTCTGCATGGTCACAGTCTTAAGAGAGTAGAGAAAGGGACTCAGACTTAAATGAACCAGGCTCCACAAGACAGCAGGCCCAACACATATTATTAGAACTACTGGGGCAAATAAACACATAAGAAATAGCTCTTCCCAGCCTGAAGTCCTTCAGATATTTTAAAGCGCACCTGTCAGCATTCATTGTCCATACTGTCTGGAACTGATAGGAATTGAAGTCCATCTAGTGGTGAAGGAAATGCATGGAAGAAGACATGCATTTCCATCTGAAAAGGCATCCAGTCTGTGCAAAGACCTATGATATGCTCTGTATAGACATGGCCTGGGGAGAGAGCCTCAGTTTCCTGCCAATCCAGCATATGTATGGCTGTGTTCCAGCTGTGGAAGTTCTGTCAACAGCTGGGAACCTCTCTTCTTAGTTCCTTCTGCCTGGTCAGGGCCATTCTATTTAGGCAAGCTTATTTTTATTTTTCTTGCTTTAACTGATCTTTGATTTGTATGCATACCCCTGTGTTTTTAATCATCTGCTGGACTGTCTGTATTTACTGGGTTTTACTACTGTTTATCTGAGTACTGTTAGCTTCTCTGGTGCTATTTTATAGAAGAAAGGCTTAATAAACAAGCAATCATAAAGATAAAATGGTATTCTATCTACAGCAACCTTCTCTCCCATTTTTATCACTGCTTAATTGTAAGGAAGACCCTGATGCTGGGAAAGATTACTGGCAAGAGAAGGGGACAGCCGAGGTTGAGGTGGCTAGATGGAGTCACTGGGGCAGTGGATGTCGGCTTGGGTGGACTCCGAGAGATGGTGGGGAGGACAGGAATGCCCATAGGAATGTTGTCCATGGGGTTGTGATGGGTCGAGCATGACTTTGCAACTAAACAAAAAAAAAAAAAAATTGTAAGGAAGAATTACCAGCTGTTCCAGGGCAGTAATGAAGAGTTTGGAGCAATCTTTGCTCGATCCAAACACATTTAGAGGACACTGAGGGTGGGTGAGGGAGGACTGGCTAGAAAATGTGACATTGGGGCAACAGCATATCCTCCCCACACCTCAACTTGTGATTGCCCTAAGAGTAATGCATGATTAAGGCTTGAGCCTTCCAGTCGGATTATGGCTGACAGCAGTTTGAGACATGGAATGTTTGTGCCCCAATTGAAAACAATGGAAGACAATGAAAGGAAGAGAAGGGAAGGGAAGGGAAGGGAAGGGAAGGGAAGGGAAGGACTTGACCAGCATATAGTTAAGTAACCATGGCTCCTTGCCCCAAACGCTCTATTCCATAAAATATGCAGGTTTGGGTCTGACAGCCCTCTAGTGTTCTACCACTTAAGGCCTGCTGTAAATAAAAAAATAAGTCCTGTACCCCTTCTTCACTCTTGAAATTGCCACCCTTCATTCGAATATTAATGCCATTCATTGCTTTCTGGAACCATAGAAAACACTCCCCTGGGAAGGGGGGGGCACAGTTACACTGCAACATTTTGTTGCAGGACTTGTATTTCTCTCAGAATGATGCTTAGGTATCTCAGATTGTAATACAGTGAAGGGCTAGGCCAGTGTGTATGCATATCTAGCTTTATTACTCTTCCCTTAAATCCGGTCTTTTCTTCATTATTTCTTTATGATGAGCAACAATGCATTTCTGTCATACAGATTTTCCAACCACAGAACCATAATCAGGAAAAATATGTTAAATGTGTATACATTATATTCAGTAAATATGGAGAGGGAATTGGTGATTATTTTAGTCAAGCTGCAGTAAAATGCAAAATTGGACACTTACAATAAAATCTTATATCTTTATTCCAAAATAAGCCTCACTGAATTTATTGCGACTTACTTCCAGGTAAGTGGTTAATCATTGCAAGACATTTTTGGATGAAAAGCTAGGACAAAAATCATATTTATCAATCAGATAAATCAAAACTTAAGCACAAGGAAGAATTTCCTAATTGTAAGAGCAATACAACAGTGGAACAAGCTTTCAAGAGAGGGTGTGTGCTTTTCCACACTAGAGACATTCAAGAAGCAATTGGACAGTTATCTGAGTGAGATGGTGTAACTGGTGTTCTGCACCAGCAAGGGCTTGGACTTGATTGCCTTCTTGGCTCTTTCTGCCCCAACTATTGTATGCTTCTATGAAATGAATAAATACAGCATCACAGCCTTAAGTGTTCAAATGTCAAGGGAACTTTACATTTGCCTTGGAAATTCCATCAGCCTGAAAATACAATTTGATTTTGAAAGGAAGGAAGGAAGGAAGGAACATGATAAGACTGAAGAACTGTGTGTCAGTAAAAACATCAGTAACTTTAAAAATTGATGTAATAAAGAACTGACCTCTGTAGGCTTTGTTTTTTTTCTGTGAAACCACCATATATAGACTTGTGTAATCCCTCTATCTCATTATACTATCTACAGCACATTCTGCTTTTTAAATGTTGAATAACTATTTTCATTGCAAGCTGGAATACGTATTCTGCAAAACTCTTCCAAGTATACAAAGCTGTAATTTGGATTTATTTTTATTATTACGAAAACAGAACATCCCCAAAACAGTCAGAACTGACCTTTTATCCCCATCCGTAGCTAAGTTTGATATTGTCGGTGGCCGTGCTTTTGAACCGCGCACGGAACTTTGCTACGCATCAACATTCGTAATTATAGGATAGGTTGCAGAACAGGATGCGATTGTAATGGGAGTGAAGGATCACTGAACTTAATGAGCCTACTTCTGAGTAACATTTTGCCCTGTGTGCTTCCCAACAACGTACAAATCCCGTTCTCTGTCACTTTCCGACAAAACCCCTTTCGAGCCTCCACTGGCCACTCAAGTGCGCAGACTCGACGCCTTCGAGTACTTCGTACATTTCGCCCCGGGCCATTGATTGGCCCGTCCAAAGATCTCGCTTCCCGAGCCTCGCAGCTCTTCGCCCTGTCGCTTCTTCGTACCAGCGATGGAGGACTCCGAAGGGCCGGCCCGAGCCTCCCGCGGAGGCGGAGCCTCCCGCAAGCTCCGCCCCCTGCTGCATTCATACTTCCCCGCTTCGTTCAGGCCAGCCTAACTCGGCCGGGTTTGCGGAATATTCTGATTGACACGGACCAAAGTTATCCCGGAATAAAGGGAGCACGCATGTGCCGTCACACCGGATATGAACGAGCTCCCTTTGCTTCCCGCCTCCGTCACCCGGGAGCTCGCTTTGTGAAAAGGTAGCATCCGTGCCGAGCCGTGCTAAACCAGTCCAGTCCGTGCCGCGGCCTCTGCAGCGGGAGAAACGAGGCAGAGAGAGGAAGAGGCAGGATAAAGGGCGGTGGGCCCCCCGCCCCAAACACGCTCCTACTGAGTACAGCGCTAGGTTCTAGTAGCACCAATAAACTGAACCGGGTTAAATCCGTTCCAAATGCGCTCCCTCAGCGGGTGTAACACGATTTGCCTTGGCTTGCCGCTTGTTCGCTGCAGTCCGCTTCTCCCTAATGCTCGCCCCCGTTTTTTCTTTCCTTTTTGAATTTTTCCCTCACACTGAGGCTGGGTCGAGGGTGGAGGGTGCGGGGTGGTGGGGGGCGGAAAGAGTTGCAAGATCGGGATAAAAGCATGGATTTCCGAGGGAAGAAGTATGAGCGGGGCAGTAACTGGTCGGACCCAGAGGTGGTGGAGCTCTTGCACCTGTGGGCCGACGAATCGGTGCAGGCGGAGCTGGAGAGCTGCCTGCGTAACCAGCACGTCTTCAACCGGATCGCCGAGGTGCTGCGCGAGAAGGGCATCCACCGTACGGGCGACCAGTGCCGGGAGAAGATCAAGAAGATGAAGCTGGAGTACCGGCGCATCAAGGAAAATAACAAGGCCCCCCGCGGGGGCAGGACGTGGAAGTTTTACGAGGTGATGGATCGGGTCCTGGCCAGCCGGCCCTCCCTCGCCTACGGCGCTGCCGGTAACAGCGGCGGCATGATGGCCCAACCGGGGCTCCCGGGAAGCATGGTGGAGAGCTACCATCATCACTTGGGCCCCGCTTCAGGGCTGGCCTTCGCGCACTCTCAGCCCCCGGAGCTGATGGAGATCAAATGCGAGGAGGTGGATTCCGAGGACCAGGGCTTGTCGCCTGAGCCTCCGCCTTCCCTCACTTACCAGCCGGGCCCCTCGGCTGACGAGCATGAGATAGAAAGGGCCTTTTTGGAGAATGACTCTCCCATCTCCAGGGTGGAGGTCCCCGTTGAGACCAGTGTCTCGCCTTCAGGTAGGATGGCCTGATCTCCTTACACACCACCCAGCAGCAGAGCCTCTTCTGTGCCCTGGAAGCAGATTGTGCCTTGAGCAACAGGCCAAGAGGTGGCAACTCCAGACCCTCTGGATGTTTGGTCTGCAGTGCCCATAATTCCTGAATGTTAGCTATGTCACCTGGGCTAATAGGAGTTCCAGTCCAAAATATCTGGTGGGCAGCAGGATGCATACCTTCATACCATATTCTGTGCTAGTTTCATGACTTTGACACACCAATATTAGCATAATGGGGGAATAAAATTTCCTTGATGGTAGTGTGGCAACAGAGGTGCCAGATATCCACCAGATGCCTGTACTTACCTTGTTGGCTTTCAGCTTCTTGCAGCCTGCTGTAATGATGCCCCAAGGGATTAATTGCATCCTATCCCCAGTTACTTTCAGAGCTCATAGAAATAGCCCTATCTTGTTTATTCTGAAGCCAGTCACATTGAGTTTAATGAGACTTACACCAATTAGGTATACATAGGGTTGCAATCTGCTTAAGGTACCGCAGCACAGTTCATTAAAGCCATTTTGTACAGGTTTTTTAAATAACAGAACCTTGTATTTGGAGCAGACACCCACACGTATGTGTGGCCAGGAATGTAGGAAGCACCCTTATACTGTGTCAGATTATTGGTCCAGTTGTCACTGACACTGACTGGCAGCATCTCTCCAGAGTTTCAAGCAGTAATATTTCCAGTTCTACTCGAAGATTCCAGCGCTCTTCCATTGAGTTATGGCCCCTTTATATGGCTGTTTTGCCAGCTGCCCATTTTTTGGAAATCCCATGGCAGCTGCATTTGCCTAACATGTGCAAGTGGTAGAAAATAATTTTTCCTTTGCTCAGGTAGCTAAAACATGTGTGAAGTAGACTTGTTCTATTTCTTTTCCTTAATTTGCATATTAGAAAGTCATGAAAGAGTGTCCAGGAGATATTTGCTTTGCATTTCCTAAATTTTCTGAAATTGGATTTGGCCATCAGGTTGAAGGAGGTTCCCAATTCTGGCTTAGATGCTTGCACTGAGGGCTCATTTGTGTTGCAGTCTGCTGCAGGACCCTTGAAACTGAGCCTCCCCGTAACCCATTAACTGGTATGAAATCTCACTGAATTCTTGCTGAGATTGGACTTTTCCTTGATATTTGATGGTTGCTTTTCCTTCATCACAAAACTATACAGTCAGAATTTTACAAATTGAAGTATTCTGTATGGAAGGCATCCTTTGTATCTGCAAGGCAAGAAACTGGACGACATGCATTAGTCTAGTAGAGATGCATTAGTATATTGTTGTCATGTTAATAGCTTTAGTGCTTAAGAATATATCTGTTTGAGTAGTACTTATGCAATTTCAGGTATCTGATACATAAAGGAATAGTCAGAACTCACTAGCAGTGATTTTCTAACTGATTTGCTTTCTGTTATGGGCAGACCTGATTAAAGTTTAATTAAAGGATGCCACTGATTACTCACAACCTTTTCCAAGCTGTATAAGGCAATTTCAAGGAATGGCTATGGATGATTTCCCTTTGTCTTTTTCCACTTAGGTTTCAGTGAGCCCAACATGGCTTCTTCATCTCGGATTCAAAGTCTCGGCCCGCGGCCCGGTTTTTCCACTTTACACCGCTTGCGGAAGAAGCGGAAAGCCCAGCGACTGAAGGATCCCCTGGACACGCTTCTGCTGAAGACTCTGACTGCCCAGCGAGAAATGGAGGAACGTTTCCTGCAAATGGAGGAACGGCGGCTCCAACGAGACTTGGAGGTGGAGGAGCGGAGGATACAGCTGGAACAGCGACGTTTTGAACTGGAACGGGACCATGAATTCCGCATGTTCAGTGTCTTTGCCCAGATGCTCAGTATCTTAAAGCAGAGCAATAACAGCTCCTCGGCAAGTGGACTGCCTCAGGGTGCAGACCTTGCTCAAGCATTTTCTGATGCTCCAGGAGTGGGAGAAGGGGTGCAACAGGAAGTAAGGACCACACCATTAGGACGACCCGCCTTGGATAGGACTTCCAACACACACAGTTTCTGCAACCACAGAAATTTCCAAAACAGCCCATACCTCTCCATTCGAGGCAATGGTACTTCATTCTTCTGGGGATCCTCAGAAGAGGGGTACAACGCATATCATGCTAACAAATATGATGAAGACAAAAACCCTAATGTAAGTACCAATCCTTCTGGTACATTTTTAAGGTTTATAATTTTTCATTTACCCAGTGATGTCAAGGCTCACGGCACTTAACAGCACACCTGGGCAAACTCCAGACTTGTAGGTTTAATTTTTTACTAGAAGCTGGAAATCCACCACCTGGAGCCAGGTGTAAAAGACGGGAGGGGAGGGAAGATTAGTAGAAATAAGTGCACAGTTGTATGTTGAATGACAAAATCATTATCTAGCAACTATGGCTTAAAAAAAATGATTTTACCTCTACAATAGGCATAGAGGGACCATTCCAGATTTAAATTTCCTCCTCCTCCAGTAGGATCCCATTCCAGAATGAGGGGCCTGCATCTACTTGAGAATAAAAATGAAAATAAAAGATGTAACTACTTTAAAGTATTGTCTGTTTTGAAATGACATCAAGATTTTGTGCCATTGCTTTGGCCAGATCACTACCTTGTCGACTGGCTGACATCAGAGAGTGTGTCCTTGACCTAACATAATCTCCCCCGTCTTTCTTTGCAACTCCTCAGCATGGAGAAAGTCCAGGCTGCTCTGCATCTCCATTGCTATCACTAATCTGAAGCGAGGAAATGGGGGGACCTGATGTTGGGATTTGCCTGCGAAGGAAGAACGGCCACTCAAGGCTAATAAGTGTTGCTGCAGCAAACATTGCCATCCTTTGCCAACACTGCTGTGCTGTGCTGTGCTGTGCTGGAGAGAGCAGTGGTGATGAGGGGCATTGGGACTTGCCTGCAAAGGGAAGGGTGGCTGCTCGTCCTGGTGTAGGGGAGTCGGGCCGGACCACCCAGCATCCTTGCTGCTGCCTCTGCTCTGAGAGTGGGTGTTCCTCTGCTGCTGGATCCCAGCAGGAGAATCTCTGCAGTTATCTGCTGTCTTCTGATTGGGAAAAGCACCATGGATGCCCTTGGAGTGTATTCATCCAGGGGATTTGGCTTGGAGCCTGTGCCCTACCTGCTGGAGGAGACCCAAGAGGCCAGACTAAGCTGCTCCATGGGCCCACCGGTGGTTCTGTAGCCTAGAGCTAGTCCGGAAGAGTGTATAACTGTAGAGCTCTTTGTTTGACTTGCCTAATGGATTCTTAATATTTTACTATTGGTGGTTAAGACATATCAGAAACTCTGTATTTTGTTACAGTTTATGCACGCAGAGCTTTCTGAACTTAGCAAGTAAATATAACTGTCCTTTTCTCAGGCATCACATTTGTTTGCAATGACTCTGTTTTCTAAGATTTAGTATGCCAACGCAGCTGATATAGTATAGTTCATTATATTGGAACTGTATTGGAGAGACCTGGGTTCAACTCCTTTGCCAGCCATGACATTTAATGGATGGCTTTTGGCCAGTACCTGTTGGCCAGCTTAACCTACCTCACAGGAGTAAAAGCTTGTGGTTACCTTGAGGTGGCAGTGTGCAAATTTTAGAAATAAAAATAATAGTAAATTAAAGCAGGAGCTGGGCTAAGCCATTGTCTCCCAAGAAAAATAGTCTGCAAAGATACTAACTTGCCATTTCTTTTTACACTATGTGAAAAACTAAGCTTTTTAGATAAGCACAAATCAGTGACATGAAATGTGATCACCTGAGAAATGTGCATCTGGGCCATGTAAATATATGCAAATTAAAGCTGAAGTCTGTGATGTAATTATGTAACAGGGTAAACATGGGTGACTTCATTGAAAAGCCTCACTATCGGGTGATTAATACTTGGATAGGTATGGGGTGAAAATGTCCTGTTGTGTTATAATTTTGGCATTTTTTCCCAGAAATAGCTAGTGTTGCGCATGCGTCATACCACCATTTTCTTTATTAATAATATGGAATGAATACAATGCAAAACTTACATTTAAGGAATTAATTACATTGATGTTGATGACAGTCTGCAGCGTAATAGCTAAAAGCTGGAAAACTGCAGAAGTTGTAATGCTGAAGTCTTTGTACATGGAACTGTGGCATATAACCATGGAAGAAAAATTCGATGTATCCATTTCAATGTAGTTAAAGGCTTTTTAGTGTAGTTATACCCATTCCTATAAAAATCAGATAATTTTTATTTAATGTACAAATCAGAGACAAATACAGCAATAGAGCCTTTCTTCTAAGAGGAAAGAGACCAAAAACCAGAAAATCTCCAGGCAGCCATTGGATTCTATTCTCCTTTCTTGGCTGTAAAGGGAGGGGGAGGATAATAAATGGGCAATGCTCTATCAGCAATTAGACTCAGAGCTGATGTACTTTTCTTGTTGTTTCTAGCAGTATTTGGAAAATTAGTACAAACTTTTTTAAAAAGTCAGTTCCTCTGCAAGAGTATTGAAGGAAAAGATACTTAATATTTACTTTCATGCCTGATCTTTCAAAACCACTTTGTCAAAGTGTTAATCAGCAATCTTCTGGTTGACACAGCGAATGCATTTTTTATGCAATATAATTTTTGTGATGGCATTGTGGACTTGTGCATACAGAATGTTATTCTTCACAAACTTTTGTCTCTCCTCCAGGGCATCATAAACTTTGGCACAAGTGAGAACAAACTCTGCTTTGATCTGATGTCGAAGCGGGTAAGAATATTGTTTTGTTTTTAAGAATATTGCTTCATTCTTAAGTGGTAGTGAGCATTCCTATTTGTTCCCACACAGCAGTTGGCTTCCCAAATCATCTTAGCTTGGCATTCCATCACATCTTGATACATCCTAGACTTTTGCCAGGCTCAGGGATTGCCAAGTAATAATAGAATCAGAGAGCTGGAAGGTGTTTCAGGAGCCAGTCCCTTTAACCACAGAACTTAACCCTAACCTAGGATTTCTGAGCCTAAATCACAGAATCATGAAGAGACAAAGTATTGTCTCTTTTTTGGTAGTGGTTAACTTGGAGGTTCCCTTTGAATTTCAGGCTTTAGTTGCTTCCAGGTGTAAGTCCCCTTCCAATGGCTAATCCAGACACTTCAGATAATGCTTAAGCAGCATTACCTATTTACAATAATTAGGGATGGAGAAAAAAACTCATTTGGGTTGCATTTGATTAGGAACTTAGCTGCTTTCTTTCATTTATACACAAAATGCACAAAATACTTTGTAATGAAGTTATCTGGTTAAATACTGAGTACAAAAACATGTATATTAGGGAAAAGTCCACAGAAGAAATCATATAGTCATGAAAATAATGATACAAATGTGTTACATTTAGAAAATTACATGCAGAATTGTACATGCTAGCGAAAATTGCATACAGAATTGCATGCAGTTGGAGAAGTGTACGCAAAGGGATGCTTGTATGTTCATGCAACCTTATTTTTAAAAATTCTCTAAAGTGTTGGATAAACCAAACTCCAGATTGGAATAATAAGAATCTGAAACTGACAAAGTCATCTATCCATGGCAAGGCTATTCCAGTTCCTATGGAAGCAAATGAGATAGATTAGGCTTGCAGGTGGAGTGAGAGTCGTATGTGTGTTAGCAATTTGTAAGAATGTCCTTCTGCTGCAGAAGGTAAGTACAGTCCTTTCATATGAGCTTCTACTTGAGCATTCTTACCTCTCTGGACTAATTGGTGGTGTCTTGCTTAATGACTATACCATCTCCTTTTCGTTGATAGCTGATGCAAAGTGACATGAATGTCATGGAGCCCCCGTTGTTACAGTATCCTAACTGGAAAGGCCATATGTTGTAAGTAGTCTTTGTCCTGAAAGTTTTCCCATTTGTGAGTACATTTGCTCTTCTTCCCCTTCTATGAGAAGCAGTCATGGGTAATGGTTGCTGCTACCTAAGATTGCAAGATGCAGTAGATAAAGTGCTAGAAGTGATGAAGTGAATATGACTGGGTGTGTCTGAGTGCAAGAAGTTTGGAAGTGAAATACCTGTGGGACGTGGGCATGGTGGGAGGGTGCTCAGAATGGCCAGTTGACACCTGAAAGGACAATAGACTGTTAAATGTGTGACATAAGAAGTTGGTAAGCCTGATACTGTTTCATCAACACAGTTCATCAGTTTAATACTCTCACACTAAGAGTGTAATGCCTAGCAACCTGGGATCCTTAGTGCTAGGCACACTGTCTCTTTGTCATATCCAGTGGGGCTGTGCGTTGAATTTTCTGAGCTGACTTCTGTGTTGATGTGAGGAGCTCTTCCCAGAACTCTGTTTCTTCAGGAGTGCACCATATGCTAGTACACTTCTTAATGTTTGTGCTGGTTTTAAAGTACCTGTTTGATTTCTCCCTTCGCCTCTCACTGCATCTCTTTCATAAAAGCCTTCTTTTCAATCTGCATCTGAGGGGAATGTTTTTGGTTCAACAGCAAATTTCCTTTTTGGAGAAACTGTCAGGAACTGCATTCCAGTGGTAGGCAGAGACAAGGGCAAAAGAAACAGCCCACAATACCCCAAAGACAAAACTATTTTAAGCTTAAGTCTCTTACTGCCAGTAACTCAACCTTGGAAGAGGCTTTTCAGTCTTTCAGAATGGGCAAAATCTGAGAAATCATCAAATGATGGGTGGTCAGGTGAAAGAGTCAGGAAAGGGAACATGGCTGTCTCAAACGCTGGACCCTCAGAGGGCCAGATTTGCCCTCTGTGCTGAGGTTCCCCACTGCTGCTTTAAAGTGAGTTTTGAACAAAGTCAAAGGAGTTATTTTCCTATTCAAATAGACTGCTTGAGTCACACTCCAGGGTTTAAACTTAAGTGGGAGTAAAAAGCTGAAGAGAAGCCAAAACTTAGCCAGCAGAAAGCTGCGAGCTTGGCCTGCAGTCCTGCTTAATTATGAGTATATTCACCTTACATTTGGAAAAGCAAGTTGCCCGAACTTAGTTTGATGAGTGCAGCAGCTGGAAAAATCAGAGGAACAACCTTATGAGGCCTGTGCAGGGAAGACATTGCTCATGGGTCACAAAGCTTTTGTGTTTGTCCACAATACAGCCTTGGGAGGAGCCAAGTATTTTCCTGGAAGAACTAATTCCATGTTTACTTTGATCTCTTCTTCAGCTTGCGAGAGGAAGTGGCTCGATTTTTGACCTACTATTGCAAAGCTCCTGCACCTCTCAAAGCAGAAAATGTAGGTCAATTTACTTGCTAGTTTCTTTGGTGCCTTTTTTCCAGTAATGTATTGGCATTCAGTGTCAAACATCTTTATCTAGAGATGGCTACCAGTCACAGCAAGCACAGAAAAGCTGTATGGCAACTGCTGTGTTGTAGAGAATTGTGAGCTCCAGAAAGATACGGTTTCAATTTTTATGCATGCCCACACTTACTCCTACTACACTTGCTTTCATGTTGGTTCCAGGTATAAAGTAGGTCACAGCTGAGAAGCTTGATGAGATGATGATCAAGCCAACTGGATTGCATTTTATTAACTTGAAAATGGCTTTCAGTGATTCAGGTTGTTTAATTATATTTTCTGGATTGCTTTTATAGTCACATGTTGAATTGCATATAAAAATCCTTTCTAACTCAAAGGGAGTCTTGTAAATAGGTACTCCAGAATTACTGTCCTGAGAACGTTTTAGTAGTTTGCTGACGCTCTGTGCTTTCTCTTACAGCCCTCTTGTTTCTGTGTGGAGCCTGTCCTTGTTTGCATGGATTCCATGTTATCATCTGTGTATAGTTCTTGATTGCCTGTAGCTAGTGCTTGTATTTAAGCTGCTCTATACTATGTGATGTTTCACTTAGGAACTGGGACTTAGAAATAGCCAATATAAAATTTTCTTGGCTTGACATGAACATTTCATAATATTTGGTCATAGTTAAATATTAATAAGTGCTAAGTGTAATAAATAAAATAAATAAAAATAATACCCAGTAACAGTTTTTGTAACATGACTTGTTCCTAACCTCTGAGTGTTTATGTCCCTCAATCTGTTTCATTGCTTTCTCTTCCATGCTGGTTGAGGATTGTAATCTCTTGGGCTTGCACAGTCCTTTTTAAGTTTCACCTGCAAAATCTGTCCTCACAAGGACAACATCTTCAATTCATAAATGGAGCAGTTCTGTGGTTTACTTTATGTAGCGGGGATAGATGGATGAGAACAGATTTTCATTCTTGGTGAGAGAAATCTTGCACAAAGAACATTCTCTCTTGCACAGGAGTAATACCTGTCCCGACCTCTCCTCTGCAGGTGATTATACTGAATGGCTGCGGCTCTCTGTTTTCTGCATTGGCTACAGTTCTCTGTGATCCAGGGGGTAAGTGAGATTGCCAGAACAATTGAATACGTACATTGGCTGGGCAATGGAAGCTGCTCATGATTATGATGGCATTTCTGCTGTCACTCTGGTAGTGCATTAAGCTTTTCTAGGCTTGCTGAGGAATGTTGTGCTTACATTGAATAGCTGCACCAGGTCTGGAGAAGGCTTTTGACCTTACAGATGCTAACCTGTTCTAGTGGATATCTGTGTTGTGCTTTTCTTTGACCTCACCTACTTCTGGCAGCATGTTCCATGGACATTTTCATGTAAGGATAGTACAAAATACATGGATATTGGAATATTATACAAAAAGTGATGATTTATAGCATTAGGATGAGTAAATAGCTTGGCGCCATTGTCTTTAATCACTGAGGTGTGGTTTAATGTTTTTGTCAACTGAGGTAATTTGCTCATATTTATTTGAGCTGTTCACTTAAACAAGTTAGTGCAAAAACGGTTTGTTTCATGGACCTGAATGGACAGAACACACACACACACGCGTGCGCGCGAACACAGGGGCGGGGGGGGGGGAAGGAGGGAGAGGGGGAGAATGAGAAAATACACATACTCGCTCTTACATTTACTTTGGATCAGCTTGTTGGTGCTGATAATTTTTTATTTTTGGTCATTTTCTGTTTTGCAGGGTAAATATAAAGAGTTGGTTACAGCTGCATGGCAATATATGTAGCTGAAACATTTGGTCCTTCTGCTTTTACAGCTTCAGAACCGCTTGTGTTATTGGAAGTATTAAACTGGCTTAAAATGTGTGTTTACAGATCAGTGAATACATATGATACACATGGTCTCAAGCAAGAATGTAATAATTAACTGGAACACCCTCATCTTGCCCAGCCATTACCTATTTCATAAGGGACTGTGGATCTCAGGCTCTGTTTAATTCAGCAAAAAAATATATTTTGCATATATTGAACACCAAAAGATTTCTTTAATAAGAGTTTAATTACTCCTCCAACAACTGGATGATTTAATGTTGCTAATGTTTCTCATACTCATAAGTTACTTGTATGGCAGCTTTCTTTTGAGAGGAAGTAATAATTTGGATAAATCTTGTGATGTAAAGCTCTTCAATATTTAAGGATACACATGTTCTTTTGAATTACTACCCATTTCTTGGAATCTAATGTAAATGGATTTTCTGCACCACTTTGACTGTTAAAAAACTAATATTACAATACCAGAAGGATAAACAGCCACCTGTAATAACACAATGGGTGGAAGATGTAATTAAACTTTCATTTTTTTGAACAGTGGCCTTTAGGCATAGCTTACAAATGGATAAATGTATGAGTATTTGGAGTGCTTTTGTTAAAGCAGATGCATAATTAGCTTTAATTATGATAATATGCCATGTTGTATACTAATATATAGGGATAGACAATAAAATTCAACTAGTGCTATCAATCCTTTTTCCCCTTAAATGCTATTTAAATATGTAATTTTTCCTTTTTCTTTTTGGTTTCTTTTTATGGTGTGGTTTGGCTACTTTTGTATTGCATAATAAAAAATAATAACAAAATTACACAGAAAGTATATTTATACAAGCCCAAAGACCTTGGAACTCCATGAAACAAGAGTAGGTTGCAGGAATGATTCTATTAGATTATATAGTAGGTTGAACACACACCATTTTTCTTTTGTTTATTAGCAAACTACCTTGTTAAAATTTATTGCCAAATTTAGTGATAGTAGAGATATGATGAGCTACTATTTGTGTGGCATCAATGGGGTTCACTGGCTTTGTTTTTTCTTTTTTGCTTTCAGAAGCCTTCCTGATTGCTACTCCTTTCTATGGGGGCATCATCCAAAGTGTGTTTCTATATGGGAATGTCAAGCTGGTCTATGCCTATTTGGACAGTCAGGTGAGGAGGACAGTGGACAACCACAGGGCTCAATCTTCTAGCAGTTCACATAGACAGTAGTTCCCAAATAGTAATTTGGGGACACCATTTGTGGGGAGTCTGGAGGATGTATTGCTGAACTGATCAGCAGAAAGTGTTTGGGTTCTAGCCTAAGTTGAAGTCCCATACAGAAATTACATTTGCGTGTCCTTTCATAAGAAGCTTTGGAATAACTTTCCTGACCGAGATTTGTAGAGTTCAAAAATGAACTTCGGCACATTAATGCTTAAGCAATTTGAGCTACAATAAATGCAACGTTATTTGTACCAGGATTAGCACTCTGGCATCCTCAGCGTGTTCTTGCTACATGTTCTTGACGATTAAGCTCTTGGTAAAACACAAATTCCAGACCTTGTGTATTATTTATTTATTTAGAGTTTTTGTATGCCATCCCAATGCTTAACGCCTTGGGATGGCTTACATAAATAAACAAAGTACAAAAAATACAGATTATACAAATTAAAAAACCCGATTCATTCCGGCTGCAAATTAAAACCTATAGTTAATATTAAATGTTGTAAGCCGCCCCGAGGCTTCGGCGAATGGGGCGGCATAAAAATGTTTTAATAAATAAATAAATAAATAAATAAAATGTTATTAAAATATTGTTTAAATGAAAAGGTCTTAACCTGGTGCCAAAAAACAAATAACGATGGCGCCAGGCGGACTTCTCTGGGGAGCGCATTCCATAGATGGGGCACCACCGCAGAGAAAGCCCTCCTCTGGATACTTTGCCTCCTGATGTCTTTCACAGAGGGCTCCCGGAGGAGGGCCTCTGCTGCCGATCTCAAGGGGCGGGAGGGCAAATATGGAAGCAGGCGTTCCTTTAGGTATCCAGGTCCCAAGCTGTTAAGGGCTTTGTAGGTAATAATCAGCACCTTGAATTGAGCCCAGACTTCGATGGGAAGCCATTGAAGCTGGTAGAGGACTGGAGGTATGTGAGAATAACGCCCAGTCCCCGTCAGCAACCTGGCTGCTCAGTTTTGCATCATCTGAAGTATCTGGACTGTCTTCAAGGGCAGCCCCATGTAGAGCGCATTACAGAAGTCCAGCCGGGAAGTAACCAATGCATGCGTCACTGTCGCTAGGCAGTCTTCCTCCAGGTAGTGACGCAGCTGATGGATTAGCCAAAGCTGAAGGAAAGCGCTCCTCATCACCGCAGTCACTAGAGCTTCCAAGGACAGCTTCGGGTCGAGGAGCACTCCCAAGCTGTGGACCCTGTCCTTCAGAGGGAGTGAAATCCCATTCAGGACAAGGTCCAAGTCACCCACCTAGGAGCTCGAACCACCCACCAACAGGACCTCCGTCTTGTCTGGATTGAGCTTCAGTTTATTGGCCCTCATCCAGCCCATTACCTTGGCCAGACACTGGTTCAGTACAGTCACTGCCTCACCTGGATTGGTTGAAAAAGAGAGAGGTAGAGCTGGGTATCATCAGCGTACTGATGATTCCGCAGCCCACACCTCCTGGTGACCTCTCCCAGCAGTTTCATGTAGATGTTGAATAGCGAGGGGAACAAGATGGACCCCTGCAGTACTCCATGGCATAGCTGCCATGGTGCAGAGCCACAGTCCCCCAGCACCACCTTCTGGAATCAACCATCAAGGTAGGAGCAGAACCACTGCCAAGCAGTGCCTCCTACTCCCAATCCCGTTAGCTGCTGTTTTCATGAGATCACCTGAAAAAGTTTCTACCCCGTTCCCCTTTTGGCCTCTGTAATATGCAGTGGAAAGGAGTGGACTCCTTCTTGTGACATGCAGCAAAAACAGATAGCCAGGTCAGACAGGCCATCAGATTCTGTTTAATCATTTATTCTGTTTTTTTCAGGTTACTGGGACAACCACCCGCCCATTCCAACTCACTGTGGACAAACTAAAGAACGCATTGCAGGACGCCCAATCTAAGGTAGCCTTGGCTGATCTTATAGTTGCCAGATCTTTAGGCAGAAGACTGCATGGGAGAATAAAGTGAAGGGAAGCTGTTGAGCATAATTTAAAGGGGTTAGATACTGTCTTGAAGTAGTTCACTGTCCCAGGGTGGTCTGGCAACCTGAAGAGTGCTGGGTGTGATGTGGACCCACTGTGTGCTAGATTTGGTGCTGCTGTCTTATAGTTGTACGTAGAGAAATTCTGTTGTTGCTCTGTGCTATCAAGCCGTCTCCAACTTACGGTGACCTTGTGAATGAAACCCTCCAGAATGTCCTGTGCATGACATCTCCATTCAGCAATTCCCAGGTCAAGTCTGTAACTTCCATCCATCTCATATTTGCTCTTCCTTTTCATCAGTATTACATGACATGTCACCCCTTATTTTCAGCATGTTCTTTCTTTATTTATTTATAAAATTGGTATGCCATCCATACCATCTTTGCGTCTTTGGACAGCTAACAGCATAAATAAATTGATGACCCACTCTGGCTGCAAATTAATAAAATACAATAATAAATTTTGATATTAAAATATGGATTAAATAAAAAGGTCTTAACCTGGCGCCGAAAAACATATAGTGATGGCACCAGGCGGACCTCTCTGGGGAGTGCATTCCATAGTCGGGGCGCCACCACAGAGAAGGCCCTCCTCCGGGTACTCTGTCTCCTAACATCTTTCACGGAGGGTTCTCGGAGGAGGGCTGCTGTTGCCGATCTCAGGGGGCAGGAGGGCAAATAGGGAAAAAGGTGTTCCTTCTTCCAAGTATTCAAAACATATTATGATTCCATGTTCTCTGTGAACTTTTTCTGTGGCTCCTTTTGTTAGCACTGTAGAAGATATGATGCTTTCTCCTAATCAGATTTGTATCATCCATGGGGATCCCACGGTCTTGCAGCCTAGCTCAAAGCAGCCTGCAGAAAGCTGGATCTTTCTACTGTAGGCATGTGTCATAACTGCTGTAGAAGCTGCAGAATCCTATGACTGCTTGGCTTAGCAGGGCCAGACCAACATGGACTATATTTTGAATGGCATGAGAGCCAACAGGCCGGCAACATTGGTTTGACCCATGAAATTGACACCATGTGAAATAGCCTAAGGGAGTTTTGACACTCACCCAATAAGCTCTCAGAAAAAAAAGACTTAAGATTTTAGTTAGATCTTGTAAGACCCTGCATACAAGGAAGTGGCTAATCTCCTGCAGTTTGCCACCTTCCCGAATATGCCTTAAATGGACAGGGATGGCCAGCTTCAGTGCTTAATTAATCTGCTAATGTGGCGCTGCCAGTGCTGTAAACCAAACTCGGGATAAGCAGGTTTCTTAATAGACAGTGTTCTATACTGGGGTGTGTGTGTGTTTTAAACACTCCTGTTTTTGTTCCATAGGGTGTGAGAGTAAAGGCCTTGATTCTTTTGAACCCACAAAACCCCCTGGGGGACATCTATTCTCTCTCAGAGTTACATGACTACTTGGAATTTGCAAAAAGGTATGACAACCCTAGAAGCTGGAAAGAGGTGGATTGTCCAGTTGTGCAGATACCTTTGACTGACTAATTAACTTTGAACCTTCTGTGTACAGTGCAGAAAATTGATTACAATTGATGGAGTAAAGGATCAGAAGAAAAGATACAATTTTTACATTCTGCACAGATAAAATATCCAAGGACCTTATTTCTAGCTGACTACAATCCCAAAGTGTAGTTCTGCATGGTGGAATGGACACCAAGTGGAGCGAGGGTCATACAGTTAACTCTTCCAAATGGAAAAGACTTTTGCTGCATCTGGATGCTCACACATCTTTTCCTGGACATTACTCTGTAGAATTAAGAGAATTTGTGCTCTCATTTCATGTAGGATTTGACTTTAAAAAAGCTAAAACAGTAATATTAATAATGCAAGAACGGCACATGTAAAAACCATAGAAGAGAATCACTGGGCAGATAGACAGACATTGTGTGCCAGCAAATCACTCTGGTATGGATATTTCAAGGCCGCAACTGAAATGGCCATCCGACTGCCCACTTCACTTCTTAGAGCAGAAGGGCCCTGAAAGCTGGCCTTATTTCAGTGTGCAGCTTCATATAGGACACTTTGGTTCCGAAACTAGCAGGTCCCAAGCTGCTTAGGACCTAATGCTGGATGTCCCGGCTCCATAGGTTCATGTAGATGTTGAACAGCACAGGGTATAAAACAGGAGTTTTGTTGCACACACTATAGCACAACTGCCACGGGACACCTCAGTACCACCTTCTGGAAACAGCCATCCAAAAAGAAATGGAATCACCAGAGTGCAGCGTCCCCTGTTCATTTCCCAGGCAGTCTGTTCAGAAGGATACCGTGGTCAGTTGAGAGGTGCAGGAGAATTAGCAAAATTGCACCCTCCTTGTACATCTCCTGATATGTATTAAATTAGTTTTCATAATGTGGGTTAGAGGAAAAAGCCAAAAGCATTGTAGAGAAAGTGCATCTGGAGGTGGGGCAGAGGAGAGGAGAGGAAGGGGTAGCATGAAATGTTTTAAAAAGAAGTTCTAGGTAGTGGAAGCAGAACAGAAGATGTGAAGGAGCTTCAGGGGAGCCAGAGGATTGTTTGTACTTGACATTGCTGAAGGGGCAAAGGAGTGGATGCATTGCTTGTTTCCATTCTAGCTGATAAAGGAAAGGGGTGCAGAACCCCAGGTCAGGGAATCAAATCTGGCCTGCCTGTAGTTCCCTACATGCTCCCCACCACCACCACCACCACCACCAGCCTTCAGTGATTTCCTGGGTTTTGCACCTTGTTCCTGGTCCTCCAATATTCTAAAAGTTTGAAATTCCTCTCTTCAGTTACTAGAAGTAAGAGCTTCAAGCTACAATATATTGGTTTTGGGCCACACCCCCTTTGCTTCATTCCCATCCACCACCAATTTTCTGCATAATTGGTCCTCGATGGTAATACAGTCTCCTCTCTAGAAAGAGCTAGGCATTCCCAGGAGAGAACTAGACCAGTGTAGTATTCTGGCTGTGGACTGACTGTCAGAGAAAGAAGGTGATTTATGGGAAAAAACTGACATCCATGGAAATTTTTCTGTTAACTCTAGTAATAAAGAAAGTGAGCATTAGCTTACTAGGTACAATGCTTGAGCCCCATTCTTGTCCAACTTTGACAAGACTCAAATTCTTCTCAAACTCTAGGTGTGTCTGTCTAGGGGCTGTCTGCTAAGGTTAAAATGTTCCGCCTATTTTCTGACAGCATGTTGCTGAAAATATTCTCTTTGTTCTCTTTAATTTTCCTCTGTTCTAGACATGAGTTACATGTGATTGTGGATGAGATCTACATGCTGTCAGTTTTTGATGACTCTGCCACATTCCACAGTGTGCTGGAAATGGACAGGTAAAGACAGTTTGTACCATTGCAGCCATCCATGAATGAGAATTGCCAAGGCTCTAAAAAGGGAGTAGCACTGAGCGACTGATCGTCTTTCTGCCACAAGCATTTGTTAAAGATGGAGAAGGGGCCTACCTGCTTAGAAGTTGGCAGCTTTTGTTGGAAGTCATTCAATATACCTTTCTGAGAATTTGTGACTGGTTAACGTGCTTTCCACTATTTCTAGCATATCCTCCTGTCTATTTATCAATATAGTAAGTAGATGATGAATACATAAACTGTGCTACAAAGCTTAGAAAGCATTTTATCCAGTCACAAGCTCTTCAAAGCATGGGAAGTACTTTATCGAGCCACAATAATGTTTCAGTGCTGCCTTTCAGAAATTTCTAACCATTTTAGAATCTGCTGTGACAGCATTTAGTTTGCATTTATATGATACTTGTTTTGAGGCCTTCCCATATCATGGTGTGGAAAGGCATTGGCCTCTAGGCAGAATGGACACTCCTGGCCATTTGGGGTATAACCTTTGGTCTCTGAGGGCTTTAGAACAAACTATGCCCCACCCCTCTAGCAAAATGGCTCCTAGAGTTGCTTTAAAAGATAAGTGGCATGATACTCTTTCAATCTGAGACAAGACATGCAAAGAACAAGTGATCAAGAAGGATTTATATAAAGTATTTGAATGGTGATAGTATGTTCAGCTTTCAAGGTAGTTGGTTGTAATAGCCACTGACAGGGGAAGAATGTAATGAAAAGGAGAACAGGATTGTGTATCATTGGCTTACCTTTTGCTTATGTAAACAGAAACCAAATGGAAGGCCAAGTTGCCATGGAACGGAGGGTCAGTGAGAAGGGGATGTTTAATTCTCTCTTCTCCTATTAAGATGGGTTGTTTTCCTGATGAAACTCTAACTCCTCCAGAAGCTGCTACTTACTCCAGTGGCAGTTTATTGTAAAATGTAAGCAGCAACCTGTGAGAGGTGTAATGTTCATTGTAGTGTTGACACACTGGGCATGTGATCCAGGAGCCTCAGCAATGCATGACTAACATGTTTGTATGCATCCTCTTACATGCAGGTTGCCTGACCCACAGAGGACCCATGTGATGTGGGGAATTAGTAAGGTGAGTTCTGTTTTCTGATGTTCAGGTGGGCTCCAGAACTTGGATGATGCATGAGAGTGAATGGGGAAATGCTGATGGCCTCAAAATACTGAATTGCTTGATGTTGGGGTAATTATTATTTCCCACTCACCTTGCAGGATTTTGCTGTCTCTGGGATTCGGTTTGGAACCTTATACTCCTTGAACCAAGATGTGATCAATGCTGTTGCTTCCTTGTGCTACTTCCATGGGGTTTGTGGGCCTGTCCAATATAAGATGGCTCAGCTGCTCAGAGACAAAGGTGAGGCAAAATCTATGAGTGTGTTTCTCATTTAGCATCTCCAGCCATGTTGGAGTGGTTGGCAGTTTGGCAGAGCTGTCGAAAGCAAGTCTCCCACTATATTCCAGTGGAAGCCCACCCCACACACACAAACACACACACACACAAAAGGCATGGAGGGGGAAACAGGACCACATCCCCAGAGTAAACCCCCAATCTCTATGTATTCAGTTGAATGTGGGAAAGGGCTTCTTGTGCACATGAGATCTAGAGCCCTGCGTAAACACACTGAGCTGCCAGTCCTCAGGAAACCAAGTGCTTTTATGTGCATTTGTCTGAACCTCCCCTAAGTGTCTTCTCCCTCTTGGCTAGATTGGATCAACCAGGTGTACTTACGGGCCAATCATGACAGGCTGAAAGCTGCCCATACTTTTGTGACAGATGAGCTCAAGACCCTTGGGGTTCCCTTCCTCAACCGCAATGCAGGCTTCTTTATATGGATTGACTTTCGAAAGGTCAGTGGTCATTAGACCAAACTAAGGGTCCATCTAGCTCAGCATTCTGTTCAATGGTGGGAAGCCAGGTGGCTTTTTAAAGTAGGGTAAGAGTGCTGCACAGCTCTCATTTGCTGTTTGTCTGGATGATCTGGCATTCAGAGGTACACTGTGCCTGAACATGAAGGTTCTATTTAGCTAATGGGACACACAGGCTCTGGTAATCCTCTCCTTGCTAGCTTGTACAATCCTGTTTGGGTGTGTGGCTTGCCATTGAGGGAAACAAAATGCTGAGCTAACTCATCCTTGGCCCTGATCCAACGGGGCTCTTCTGCGTTCTTGTGTTCTTAAAAGTCACTCAAGTGTCTGGAAGGGCGCAATGGGAATCGGGTAGCCATCAAGTGTTCTGCATTTTGGGAAGCATTTGATGCTGTTACTCTATACGTACTTCATCTCATTTGGAACATGCTTTATATATTGACAAAATGTAAAGGATTGACAATACATTCCTTTACATTAAAGAAACACCACCTTTCTGGTAGCCAAAGTTTTTCATCAAAATTATCCATGCTGTATATCCTGGCCCTCATAAATGCACTTATATTTGCATTCAGAACACTCAATGAAGATCTTTTATTATCTTCTATGCCTCATTTTTGTCAAATAGGTTTTATGACTATAAATTAGTGATTGCTACAGAACTTGGATCTTAATTTTAAAGTGTTTTTATCTAGATGGTTGTTGACAAATTGTACTTGCAAGCTTTAGGATGGACCATAGTTCAAGAGTATCAACTTTGTTTTTCGATTCGGTCACTGTATTCTTTGTTGGAAAAAAATCAAGGAGCAGGTGATGTAGAGGATCTTAGCCTGAGACCCTGGAAAACCAGAGCCTGATGGAGTAGTCAGTACATGGCTACATTAGCCTTCCTGAACCTGGTGGAGGATTATGGTATTTGTAATCCAACACAATTGGAGGTCATCAAGTTGAGGATGCATAAGCTAGATGGACAAGTATTCTAAGTTTATGCAAGGCATTCTAATCAGAAGGTGGAATGTAAATAGCAAGAATAAATTGGTTAAATTAAACTAATGTCCTCCAGTTTGCCAGACACTTTCCTCTTTATGGCCAGCAAAAACATCCTCGTAAAGATCACCATTTACCTGCTTACTCCATCTGCAGAAAGTGAAGGAATCCTTACTTTCTGGTTCTGTTGGTTGTGCTGGAGTTGTGTCTCTCCCATCCCTCAAAATAGGAAAATCCCTCTTTCTTTGCATCTTTTATGGATTTTGGTGGTGGGTGGGGTCCTTGGTATAAGTTCTCACTTTCGCCTTACACTGTAGGGCAGTGTTCCCTGCTTTGGTGCCTTCCTGATGGGAGCTGAAGTCCAAATATTTGAAGGGCTGCTGGGTTGGAGAATGCCTCTCTAAGGGGATCCTAGATCTTTGGCTTCTTCTTAGACTTAGGAAGACGTGGCTACCATATCTTCCTCTGAGCCTGCATGTCTCTTGATTCTTCATTGTCCTGTTCATTTATTCCAGTACCTGAGGAAAGGGACATTTGAAGAAGAAATGCTGCTTTGGAGGCGCTTCCTGGACAACAAAGTGCTGCTGTCCTGTGGCAGAGCGTTTAAGTGCAGCGAGCCTGGCTGGTTCCGCATCATCTTTGCTGACAAATTGCATCGGCTAAAGCTAGGTCAGTGCTATCCTCATCCTGCCTTATTCACAGACCAGCACAACTCTTACCCCAACAAGCCTCATCTTTTGCTCTGCTGCAAAGCTAAGATCCCCTGAGTTCAATAGAATTGATTTCTTCAAAAGAACGTGTGCACAGACTTACTCTTGATCTAATAAGCCCTGGGATCACTGATCTTTTTCATCTTCTATTTTATTTTATTTTATTTTATTTTATTTTATTTTATTTTATTTATACGATAAAGCCTTCCTGCATTCTTCTAGAGAACTTCACCTGTTTTCCACCTGCTAGGGATTGTAGCCCGCTGGCCATTACTCCATTTTATAGTTCAGCATAATCTACTCCAGGTATGGAGAAATTGTGGTCTTCCATAAGTTAATTGGATCACCATTTCCATCATCCTTGACTATTGGTAATGCTGGCTAGCACTGATGAGTTGGAGTCCCATAATATCTGGTGGGCCACAGGTTCTCCTGGTCAACTCTGACTGGCAATAGCTCTCCAGGCTTTTTAATGGGTCTTTCACAGTCCCCTGGAAATGCCAAGAATTGAATCTGGGACCTTATGCATGCAAGGTGCTCTGCTGCTATGTTGTGGTCTTCCCTCAACAACTCCCCTAATTTGCAGTCCAAGGCAGGTGGTACTGCTGGTTTACCAGCTCCCTGGTGGGAATCACATAGGGATAGTGAATTATATTCAGCTTGGCTGGTCAAAAATTGTGCAGGCCAGTCTATCCTCATTCCTTTCACCATCCTTTTTTTAATTTTGAAGAACATCTGTAAAATAGATGAACTTCTCTAGAGGAACAGGGGAAGGAGCAATGTAAGTTACATTGGAAAAACAAAAACAAAAAATAGAAATGATGAGTGAACTCTGAGCTTAGTATATCTTGATTAACTCAGTGCATGCTTAGTAGGGAGAGAGGAAGTCCCAGTGAATTTGGATATCTTATCTTTACAGTACAGCAGAGAAGGGGATTGAAAAATCCTAGAACAACTTAATGGAAAACATGATATTGAATTGTCCTGTTAACACAGATTCCTTTTCTGGGAGAGTCACTTGGCTCAAAGGAAAAGAGGGATGCTAGTTGTGCTCTGGACTGTATTAAAACTATTTTGAGGAATCTGTTGGAGAAGGTTTGCTAGAGGAATGAAGCTGTCATTCCGGGGTACCACAACCAGCTACAAGACTGCACAAAGGAAATAGTCATGAATGCCCAAGTTTTTCATAGAAACAAGGTACCTGGTAGGATCTTGCAAATCTCTGCATTTAGCTTTCTACTTCTCTTCCAGGACACAGTACTAATACATGAGAGTTTGCATATTATCTAAAACTAGGATACATTGCAAATATTTTACATCAGAGTTAGTTTAAAATTACCTTAGCCTAGAAAGAGCTGTGACCAAAAGCTGATCTATCCCAGCATTATGTTCATACAATGGCCATCTAACTGCAGATAGGAAGCCTACAAGCGGGACAGGCATGCACAGCTGTTTTGTGATTCCTTGCAACTGGTAGAAAGAGTCATACTGCCTTTGACAGTGAAGGTAACAGGTAGCCCTCAGGACTAGTAATCTTGATAGCCATGAGGGCAGCCGCCACCACCTGTTCTGGTTAAACTCCTGGCTGCCAATACCTCTGGGCTCATACCTAATTTGACTCATGACCAACACCATCTGGCTTACCTGTCAGATAAGATTGCTCATATCGTGGAGGTCAATGTGTACAGTGGTGCGGAGAGATTCCTGGAGTGGTTCCTTTAGCGCCTTCTAGGTCTTTTACTTAGCTTTAATACAAAGGGGGTCTGTTGGCTGGAGAGAAGGTCCACTTGAGAATGGTTGCATTCCTGCCTTCTGCAAGATGGCCTCAAGGATGGTTACCATATAAAACAAAATGCCAAAAGAACTCCCGTAAGAAACAGCAAATAGGAATTACATGTGCAGTAAAGCAGCCAGTAATTAAGGACAGTATAAAAGGCAATTAAAAGTACTAGTTGAAGGTATGGAAGAAAAGGATGGACTTCACCAGTGCCTCAAAAGGTATTTTTTAAGAAGCATTTGGGGCAGGGGGCAGGAGCTTTCTGCCTTAATTTCAAAGAGTAGGAGCTCCCTGGGAAGGGCCCCTGAGAAACATCTTTATTGGAGAGCAAGTTCATGTGGGATAAGACTTTCTTCAGATAACCTGGCTCAGGCCAAAACTGGCACTTTGAATAACCCCAGAAATTATTTGAAGAATTTTCCACACTCAAGCGAATGTGTTTACAGCAGTTCAGACCCAGAAGGCTGTGACACATCAATACATTCACTTCTTTGCTTTGCTTTTCATCTGAATGTACAGTTTTGCTTTTCATCTGATTCCAACTTTGGATTTCCCATCCTCCTGGTCTCATTTCCCCCAGGTATGCAGAGGATCCGCGAGGTGCTAGAAGACCATGAGCGTGAGCTCCTGGATGGAGATAAGGATCAGTTGTGCCAATCTGACTCAGAGGGAAAGGCAGACAGCACTGATGAAGTGATCTTCGTGTCACACCACCAGGAGCCGACTTCGGCTGGGAGCTCCAGTCTTAATGATCTGATTGGTCTCCTTCAGCAGCAGATGCGCTCATCTGACTGGTTACAGAAGAATACAGCGGAGCAGTTTGCACAGGAGAAGCCAGAGATCTATGATGTTTTTTGCAAGTTGGTAGGGAAACAGTAGAGAAGCTTTGGTATATGTGTGCCTGGACTGTCACTGGCAGTTCTCGCTGCTGGAATCTGTCTTAAACATTATATTTTCTATATAGCAGGGAACCATTTTGTAAAGCTTCTTCCTTAGCATGGGACCAACTTTGATTTCTTCGTTTACTGAGGGAAAAATTTCTACTTGTGAAGACAGCCTTTTTTATATATCTTCCACAACGTATAATAGAACTAGAAGTACAGCTAAGTTTGACCTCAGTTTTGTCAATAAGTCATGTTTAATACTGAATTCAGAGGCAGGTTTTAAATGTACACCAGCTCACTTATTCTAGTACGGGTAAATGATCAGTATTTGTACATTACTCATGTACTCCAGTGTATTTGTTACTGCATTCCAGTATTCCAAAGACCTGTACAGGTGTAGTGCTTCTGCCTCTTTAGCACCAGTTAAGGGATTGGGAACAGAGCATAGGCTCACATATCTTCCCCAATAGCTTTTTCCCTTTCATATGCAAATTTTCCTTGCAGGCTTCAACCATGGTTATTGTTATAACTGCAGTGACATTAGCCATGGTTACCCTTAACCATGTTTCATTTGTGATCAGGATTTAAGCCACGGATGTGCTTAATGTGTAGCCCTCACCATTGGTTATGCTGACTTGGGCTGATGGGAGTTGCAGGTCAACAACATATGAGTACAAATGTTCACCATACCTGACTTAAGCAAACCCTTGTTCAGGTTAACCAGAGTTAATGTTTAGGTAGATGAAATACACAACAATGGTTAAAGCAAGAGAATTCACATGAAAGAGGGAGGGGGACACTGCAGACCTTCAGTCCATTCCAGATCACTTAAGGAACTGTTACTGTTGTTTCTGCAGTTTTGAAACTTTCAGGGTCCTAATGAATAAAATCTTACTTGTCCAAGTCTATTGCTTTTACTTGGAACTGGAAAAAAGTTTCCAGTCAAGTTACTTCTGTAACTTGGGGCCCCATCTCTGAAATACCATCATTGAATTAATGGAATTGAAGGACATTCATTCCCAGTTGAAACAGACCCTGAGCTACAATATATCTTGTATCATGATGACCGTTTTTAGACCTGCCATATTAACTGTTGGGTGTAAGAAGCGTGGTAGCCTGGAGCGATCACTCTCATGGACTGCTGGATGCATCCAAGATTATTCTTCAGAATCAGAAAGTGATTTAGATTACAGTGGGATTGGGGAGGATGGGCTAGGTGAAGATTCTCAGATGCAGGAGGAGAAGGTGAGGAGCAAGGAAGTTCCTGGGAGTGGCCAAGATATACAGCTGGTGGGAGAGGCCACTGAGGATGAGGAATTCTCAGATGCAGGCCAAGCCACCATTGGCTATTTACCCTGTGGCAAAGCGTCACCTCACCAGAGACAGGAGGCCCAGCTGAACAGGCAGCATGTGGAGAAGGAGTGTACTGTCCTTCAGAGAGCTCCTCCTGAGGGGATGGGGGCCCAGGCATGTTCATAAGGGGCGTTCCTGGAGGTAAATATCAAATTGGGTTCAACAAGCCACTCTGTGCATGCTCAGATATCTGTTCTGGGTGATTATTGGAAGCAATAAAGGACATTTTGCAAGGAACATGATCTGTGGCTGGTGACTGTTTGAAGGAGGAGCATTGGCTCATGACACTAATGTCAAATTGATGAAGAGGAAAGGGGACTCTTGGGTCTGATGCACATCACTGCTGATTTTTCACCTAAATTTCAGAGAAAGGCACCTCATGGCAATTTGCAAGTTAATGAATTCTAATTATTGTGCCCTGTTTTTTATACTTTTCAGGAATACATTGGGTGATTTTGACAAATATTAATGAGGAAACTTTCAGACACAATCGTACCATTTAACCCTTTAGTGTCAGCTGGTAGCTGTTGTAGGTTATCCTGCTTGATTTTGATCGATTTGGCCTTCTCTTCCACACACATAAACAAGTAATTAATTGCTTTCCCTTTGCTGCTGTGTTGGCCACTGGCACAAAATGACATCTCCCAAAAGGTGTTTACATTTTTAAAGCTATAGGGTTTGTGAGGGTCAGCTACTGTAACACTAAGGACTGATGCAAAATACCTCATACTTAATACCCCTATTCTATTTGGTGATATGTGTATTAGAAGTACAGAGCAGGTAGAAAACAAGAGGATGGGGAGCTGATAAATGCCTGGATAACTAGGAGTAAATATGTACCAAGTTGGCACCATAAGCGTGCTGTGGGTGAATGATGCTGAATGATGCATTCTGGGAGTAGAAATCTGTTGTGCAAACTAGAGTTGTGCGCATCCTTGTATACAGTTGAGGAGTTTCATCCAGATTTAGTCATACTAAATAATATATCTCTGGAACTGCAACACTGGAAAATTAATTCCAATTTGGCTCAATGGATTTTTAGAAACATTTCCAGCACAACTGCCAGAAGCAGGCTGAGTTGGAAGGGAGGAGGTTTCAGTTTCTGTGACATTGTTTGAAATGTTTGGGCAAATTTGGAGCTGAAAATGATTGATCTCTAAGCAGAATTAGCAGGCTGACTTGTTAGATCTGAGTCATTGTTCTTGTAGCATTTATCATGAGAAATATGAAAACTATCCTCTCTCATTGCATGTGTCTACTTTGAATTTTCTACCACTTAATTTCAGATTCTGTTAAGTCTGACCCTCCATTTTGCAATTTGTACAAACAGATACAATGTGTGTACATTGGTGGGCAGGTCATGAGCAGAGCTGGCTGGAGCTGGGGGTCAGACTAGATGACCTGGGAGGCCCCTTTTGACTCTCTATGTTTCTGTGTTTCTACATTTGCAGAATGGAGGCCTGAATCCCACACAGATTTTCACAGCTTAAAACTCATAAGGAAATTGTGGCCTGTTTTAAAATGGAAGACAGCATGCTGGCTTAACTCAGGTCAGTCTGAACCAGCACAGGTGTAGGACTGATGGACTGAAATTCATAGGGGTGAATTGAGAAAATTCATTGGATTCCCCCATCTCTGGGTTCTTCACTGAAATCAATAGAGGTTAAACTAGATATGAACTCGCTCTGCTTTCAATGGGTCTGCTCTAAATTTGCCTAAATCTAGATCTAACCATAGGTATGTAAATAAGTGAAGGCCATGAAACAGTCCTGATATTGTAGGCAGGGGTGGGCAATTTGTAGGAGGACAACAACTCCCATCTGCCATTGCCAGCATAGACAGTGATGAAGGATGATGGGAGTTCCAGGCCAAAGCAGCTGGAGGGCCACAAGTTGCCCATATAAAGTGTGATAGAGTGTGTGGTTGTTACAGGTAAAAAAACTATTCAAACAATATAGAGTGGTATTTAACCAGCTTACGAGGCTCAGCAGTTCCTTGTTCAAAAGAGTTTACTTTCTGCTCCCAGCTTGCTAGGAACATTTATTCATAGTATAGGACACGAGCAAAGCCAAGCATCACAAAAATATACTGGTAAACACTGCAAGCCAATGCTATTTTTAGCTGCTCGATGTATTCCCTGCTGTTCTCCACCAGATTCTGAATGTGCACAGATACATGCACGCAGGCTTAGCTATTCTAGGCAAGTCCTTCTTGTGAGCTTTCTCCTTTGGAATGAATGTCCAAATGTGAAAAGCACGTAACAGATTAAGAATGAAAATTGTGGCAAACTATGGCAAAGGCCTCTTGCAAGTCAGTGTTTTAGTTTGCATTGTCAGTCACAGAAAAAGATGAGAGTCAATCTAGCGCTTGGAAATCTAAGGCAATAATTGACATAAGATACCCAAGGCAAGCTAATTCAGCTTTCCTGATTAAAACTGATTGTGTAATTTGGGCTCAACAGGAAAAAAGTGTGTGTGTATATATCACATTCCTCATGGCTGGTACGAACCACACTATTCAGTAGAGGATTTGTACTTGTTGGGGATGGTGGGAGTTGTGACACTGGGGTATACAGCATGATGCCTGCGGATAGCGATGCGGCGTGTTGGTGCACAACAGGCTTCCATTTCTCTTGTTTAATATTATGTTAATTTTAATTGCTTATTTTAAGCTGGAAGGCTGCCATGCTGCACAGAAAACAGCAGTCCTCCAGCACCATCTTTATTTGTGCTGCAAAGAATCTCTTTTATTTTGAGGAGTTTCATTTAGCCTTACCTGATTACCTTCTGGGAAATGGGTGCTTTGCAATGAGCCATGCCTGTTATGGCCCCCAATACACCATTTTGTAGGAGTGCTCATAGCAATCAAAATTTCAGGCGTGGCCACCAACCCTAAAAGGTTGGGGACTTCTGCTGCAACTGATATCGTTGTGTATGCATGCCCTGTCAAACTTCAGGCATGTTCACGAGAAGCTCCTCTTGCTGGTTATGCTGATGATTCAGATTCCAATTCCGAGGATGAGACTGGTTTTGAAACTGCTCAGACTCCAGCTGTGCTTCAAGGTCCTGAGACCCAATGCGAGGTAGCAGTGGGGGAAATTAGCCCAAGGGCAGGTGGGGGGACCAGTCAACCTGGCCGTGGGAAGGTCGAGGAACCACAGCCTGAGGGAGGAGACATCAAAGTGGGAAGGCTCTGATGGTAGAAAGGGTTCAACCCTTCACTTTGTGTATGCTCAGAGACTCGTACGTAACAATAAAGATCATTAAGCAAAGAAATGCTGGTGGGACTGATATTGCTTGGAGTGAGAAACACAGATCCCAACAGATAGTGGCTTAGGTGCTCAGACAAGTACTAATACAAGTAGAGAAAGCCAGTGTCGTATAGCAGTTAAAAGTGCAGGACTGGGACTCAGGTGATCTGGGTTCTAGTTCTACTTCAGCCATGGAGCTCCCTGGGTGACTTTGGACCAGTCACAGACTCAGCCCAAACTCCCTCACAGGGTTGTTGTTGTAAGGATGAGATTTAAAGGAGGAGGAGAATGATGCCAGCTGTCTTGAGCTCATTGAAAGGAAAAAAGGTAGGAAATAAATATAATACATAAAAGAATAAATAATTCTGTAAAATGAGCATCTGCCAACACATCTGGTATGTTTGAGTGTAATGTGATCCCAGTGGTCAGTTGCTTTTCTTACATCCTACAGCTAAATGAAATGTGCTGTTTTTGAACTAGTACAGACTGCTCATACAGATTCAGAATACATGTTCAAAAATATACTTTTAGAAGCACCCTAATGCCAAAATCTGGAATCTGAAAACCTTTAATCATCAGAGATAAGAAGTCTTACTTTTGATGCTATATTTAATATGGATATTTATTCACAGTCCTCTACTTTTAGGGGACTATACCACACCATAGAAGTCACATTTATACTGTTTCTTTGCTGACCTTGACACCCTTCCCTGAGGTTACCTGCCATTTACCTTATTTCTGTGATTAGCATTAAGCCTGGGCTAGTATGTTACAAGATAAGGGATTGTACTTTTGGCCAAGCATAGCTCTGTGTAGTAATCTTATTCCTAAGTACACAACACTTCACTGGAATGGACGATGAGATGATAACCCTTGTATCTGTCCTACTAGACAATATGCTGTCACCACCAATCCAGCATCACTAAAGATAACCAGCTAAGGAATCCCAGCTAAGCCCTGTTGCAATATTGCCCTCCTCTGCAGTTTTGGCTTGATGTAATAAAAAGGAACAAATGGAAGTGGCTAAGCTGTTACATGCGGAATATGAATGAACAGCACAAGAGTAGCTGGCTGTGAACTGAAAACTCTTTATTCGTGATCTGAGACTGATCCCCCATCTCCCTCACGCTGCACACGCAGGCAAAGGGGTGGGGGAAAAGCCCGGCTCTGACGTATTTATACAAATTAATAGCATGTCACCCTGAAGCTGATAAATAATTTTGCAGGATATAAATGGCAAGTCAGGTTCTAAAAATAGACTGGTTTGCTGCAGACCTGTCTGCCTTGGCTGTCCCTC